AGGGTGGGTTTATTTGGAGACCAGCATGCTAGGGCTCTCTCTATAGCAAAGAGAGATAGAGCCCTGAGAACAGTTTGAGCAGAGCTTATATACTTTCCTTGGAGAGGGCAGCGAGAGAAGTTACATTTTGTAGTTTGGCAGTTGGGGACAGCTCATTCTGGGAACAAGATTAGCAGACAGTCCACAGTTAGGGACAGCACATTCTGAGAACAAGATTAGCAAACAGTCCTTAAAATTTCAACAGTGTTTTGTTAAGCATATAGAGAAACGGAGTGACAAGTACCTTTTTTATTAACCTTTCACCACCAGCCCAGGAAGCCCTTAGTGGCCAACCAGTATAGGGATGTCGGCTCGGGCCATGACTGGGCTTCTGGTGGGACCCTTCTGGCAGGTCTCTGCCCCTCAGCGCCGGAGGCAGGGGTGAGGGACAACACTTGCTGTGAGAAGTCTCCATGGCAGTCTTAGCGAAGGCGCTAGTGGGTAATTCCAGGGTGGATCGCAGAAGGCCTTCTTCCGCTGCTCATGGAGCTTCAGGCGAAATGGCTGTCAGACCTGTTGCCAGGGCACAGCTAAGGAAGGAATGAGTGGAGAACACGCGAGCACGTGAGGAAAACCGTTAATACTGGACAAGAGGCAGGCTTGCGCCAGGAACGGATGCGTGCGTGCAAATTCCGCGTGCATGTGCAAAGTCTGCATGCACGTGCAAAGTCCAGGTGCTTGCACCAGATGCGGAAGAAATAGGCAAGGGAACTGCGTGCCTGGTACGTGCGTGGGTCCTGGGGCGACTGTTGAGTGCTGACACTGGGATGTGATTCAGATCCCGCTGGTCCACCTCCTGACCCAGTGAGGTTTCCGGATCATCTCGGAAGGGTTGTAGGTGCTGGGTTTGAGGGGTGGCAGCTATGGCAAGGCCAGGGATCTCTCCCCTCAGACTGGTGCAACGACCCTGCCCCTCGCCAGAGGCAGCCAGGATGGCAGCACAGATGGGCTGAACTCCAATGGACGGGGGGCAGTCAGAGGGCTGAGCAGGCTCTTGCTGCGGGTTGAGGGTAGCTCTTGGGGCGTGGAGCACGTGCAGACTAGGATGATGAGCAGGTGTTTGGCTGGCAGTACCTGCACCTCCGGTACAGGGACAGGTGGGTGCCTCTTCAGGAGTGCTCTTCTCTGAAAAGGCAGGAAGTGGCATGGCCCCAATAGAAGCGCCCCCCATACCTCCAAGCTTGGAGCAGGGGGTAGCCTCCCTGGGCCTCTGAAGGGGAAAGCAATGTCATTAGATAGGCAGTGCACCAGCAGGGGAGCAAGTGGTGGTGGCATCTCCAGGATCTCGCTTGCTGGGGCTGGGCAAGGACACCTTGTC